ATGAATCGACATCAGGACACTGAGTATCAAATAGTAATTAATTAAGTAATTTCCTGATAAGCAGCTGGAGTGATGTGTATTTGATTGGAAGCGTGGATGAAACCCACGATCACCCCAGAAGTTTTGACTTATTTTTGAGGGATTTTGCTGCAGAGAGCTCGTTTTTCCGGTGGAGCTTGAACGCAGTATTAACAGTGACGCTAACCCAAGAAGGAGCGGCGGAAAGTGCGTTAAAGGCGGCTTTATGAACTCACACAGCCAGTGAGTCCGGCTCGTCCCGTTCCCCGTTGTCAGAGGCTTCTGTCGGGCTGACGGCTTTATTTTTAGCCGCTGCGCTTACCGGAAGTCACGCTACGGGATAGGACTGAGATCTGACGGTAAATGACGGCTTTCCCGCCCACGGCGAGACCGGCACTAGCACGGCTCTGTCTCACCTCTGAGTTGGGCTCAAATGAAGCCGCTTCACCGCATCTCCGACTCTTCCCGAGCTTTTAGGAATCGCAGCTGCCCGCTTCGTGTCGCGGAGTCTGAGGTTTGACCCAACGCGGCTTCCGGAGCTGTGCCTGGAACGGTCACGTGATCAAAACATTGTTTTTACCGCGAACGTGAGCCGCCCGGTGAAGTAGGAGCGCGTCGCGGCCCAACGGAGAGATTAGCCGGGATTCTGCTCGGTTTGCTCGTTTTTGAGGTGCCGCGATGTTCTGCGAAAAAGCCATCGAGCTGATCAGAGAGCTGCACCGCATGAGCGACGGACAGCTGCCCGCGTTTAACGTGAGTGATCCCGGCGAAGACCCAGGGCTTCACCCGGTTTTCAGAGGCAGCGGACTCCATTCACAAACCTGATATTTTAACATTTACCTGCTGCCCAGAGCAGAATAATCGGTCTGTGAGGCATCGCAAACACATCCTCAGTCAGTGCAGACACAGGACTAAACTTCGGCTCAGGTCGGATGATTCAAATACTGACCAACAGACCAATGAGGGGGATTTAAGAAAACGGACTCTGTTGGACAGAATTACGCGCGTCTTAGAGATCTCATCTAAACATGTTTACACATAACGGGCACTGCATTACACGTCGGCTGTTTTAACGACACCGATGTGCAGCCAGCAGCACACAGTTAATATCTAGTTATGTTGGGCTCTTCGTGGTGAATCATTTCCTGCATATGCTGAATTATCAAAGTGCTGTCAAACTCGTGTGTAGAGTAATAACAAGTCAGTGGTGCTTTGTGGAGGTCTGTGCCTCCACCAGGAGCTGCTCCATCAGGTCACTGAGCCTCACTCACAACTGGTTTGGTTTCTGCGTTTCAGGAGGATGGACTGCGACAGGTGCTGCAGGAGATGGAGGCGCTTTACGAGCAGAACCAGAGTGACGTGTGAGTCCACAGCAGGCTGATCTGTCCAGGTTTCCTCAGGTTTCTGTTAACCTGACCATGGCCAGATTACACTTCCCGTGACCCCGCTCCTCCCTCTCGTAGCAGGTTTTAAAACCCATGAAATCCGTATCAAATAAACATGAAGCCATGTGAAGCTTTGGGCCTCAGTTTCAGTTTAAAATAATGATACTGGGTCCAAAACCAGCTACAGGTAATGTTACAATAAAAGTAATAAAT